TGGAGAGACAACAGTAGCCACGACAGAAACAGACAAACAAACAAACAAACAAAAAACGAGCCAAAGTTTATAAGACCACACCCGATGTCATCTTTGTGTTTGGATTCAGAAACCATTCTTGGGGTGGCCGGACAACTGGCTTTGGCAAGATTTATGATCCTTTGGATCGTGCAAAGAAAGATGAACCCAAACATACACTTGTCAGACGTGGCCGTTTGAGAAGAAGAGCTCAAGGAAGCAGAGCAAGGAACGCGGGGACGGGATGAAGAAAGTCTGGGGACCGCGAAGGCCAGGGTTGGCGCTGCGATCAGTCAGCTGGAGCTGGGGCCGCAGCAGGAGCAGAGGTTCTTCAGTGACTCTATTGGTGGTGATTGTGCACATTTTTCATGAGAAGATTAATAAATTAAGAACTTTTAAAAAAATGATCACCCAGGAAGAGTTTACCAAAGATGAGAATAAACCTCTAAGAAATAGCAATGTAAGAACTGGACGGAAGGAAGAGATCCACAACGTGGTAAAAAGTGTTTGCTTTACGAAGGTGGGATAGATTCAAAAGCAACCATGGAGGTCAGGATCTGCGGAGGCCAGGAGAGGGGTGAGTTTCAAGACTGGCCACGCGCTGCAGTGAGAGGAAGCAGAACTAGGACTGAATGGTGCTTGCTGAGTTTGGCGGAGACGAGGTTGTTAGCAATGCAGTCAAAGCAGCAGTGCAGAAAGATGGGCAATGCTCTGCAGGAGGCGGGAGTAAAGATGGGGAATGGGAAGTGGTCTCCCCAGAAGTCTATCTGGGGGAGGAGGGAGAGAGATGGTGACAGCTTGCGGGGAGGTGGCAGGCACCTAGAAGTGTTTTATGGACATGACAGGAAGAAATGTGAAGTGTTGGGGAAGAAAATACACTGCAAATTTGTTAGAATAGTGATCTGGACAAGATTCTGTTTTCTCCTTTTCCCAAAGCTCTTCTGGAGTCACCCTGGGTGAGGCAGGGAAGTAGAGAAATTTCTCGCAAAGGCTCCATCATTCCCTTTTCCAGCCTCCCCTCTAAGTCTCTCCTAAACACACACACACACACACACACACACACACACACACACACACACACAGAGTGGTCTCTTGCCCATGCTTGACCTCCGGGAAATGCTTCTAGCTCTTTCCTCAACAAAGCCTACCTGGTGTCCTGGATAGGTCTTTCAATTTCTTCCATAAGTAATTTCCCCTCCCAGCTTGAAATGTCCTACTCAGAGAAGCAGTCATTTCAGCCCTCTAGCTTCTACTTCTATTCTACCAATACTTCCTCCTCTGGCCGCTTTTCCACAGGGACATGACTGTGTGCACCAGGGATAGACACCTAACCCAAAGCCGCCAATCCCATGGTCGGCCAGTCGTTTAAATAGCCTGGTCAGGATAAATAAACTGGGCTGAGTATATTCTCTCCCTGGGGAAACTGGATTCTGAGGTATAGCAATTGCGGGGGACATCTGAGCCAAGTCACGAGGTGATAGCCAACTTGCTTTTGGATGTCTGTGAGTTTCTTCAAATAGCTTTAAAATACCCCGTGCTCCCTGCCGCAGGAACCACTTGAGTGAAATTCTGCTCACTTGCAACCAAAGCAGCTCAGCCGCCTTGACTGGACCCTAGGGCTTGCTCCCTTCTCTCTAGCTATGCTAAACGAGTCGCTATGCTAGTTAAGTGGTTCGCTACAAACGTGAGATTCCTTTCATTTTACATGTAAATGATTGCAAATATGTATGTCAATGTGTCTTTTAAGATGAACTTAGCAGCTGGTGGAAGTTCAGGCTGCTGCATGTTTCTCCACATTTTTTCTGGGACAGGCAGCTACCTGGGCTATTGACAGGGGTGTACAGGGCGAATCAGACGACAGGAGTATGTTCCAACCCTCTGCTCACGTTATGTCCAATAAGGTCTCATTAGCCAAACTCGAGGTTAGGAAAGTGCACTCCAGGTACCATAAAGAGTGGTTATCTAATTCTATCAAGGGAGAGAGTGAAGAGTTGAAAGTAATAATCCACCTACCACAGACATTATGTCTGAAATCCAGGACCAAAGAAGAAGGCTCAGAAGGACAAAGGAGACTATGGCCAAGTAGCTCAGTTGGTTACGGTGTCATCCCCATATGCCAAGGTTGTGGGTTGATCTCCACTCAGGGTACATTCAGGAAGCAACCGATGAATGTATTAGTGGAACAACAAATCCATGTCTCTCTCTCTCTCTCTCTCTCTCTCTCTCAGAACTAGAGAGAGAGAGAGAGAGAGAGAAAGGATCAAAGGAGTGTCCCTATTAACAGTATTAGTATCTTTAAGGAGCCCATCTGAAGCTCTGACACACTTCCAATTCTATTTCCTTGGCCAGAAACTTTTCATATAGCCATTCTGGCTGCAAGGGAGACTGGGAAACCTACTCTTTATTCTAGGTTGCAGCGTGCTCAGCTAAAAATCAGGGTCTGTTACTAGGTTGGAGGGAGAGAATAGGTATTTGAGCGGGCACCTAGCAATTTCTTCCACAGTGCTCACCAAGATGTATCATGTTTGTCTCTCAGTGTCGTGAGGTAACCTGATTACTTAAGGTGTTCATTGTAATTGTTTAAAGTATATAGCTAATCAACATGTAAATGATTATCTAGCCAATAATGAAAACTGCTGGACTGTTGCTGTTGCAAGAAAAAAAAAAGTCTATCTTCTCCTCCACAACAGTCAAACCACTTCTTAAAACAATTTATTGTAAGTTTTATTTACTCCTAAAATATAAATGGTAAGGTCAGGAAGGGCGGCTGTAAAGGATTCTAAAAAGAAAGTATTTAAGTACATGAGTTCGCTTATCCAACAGAAAATTCCAGATAGAGCAGCCCCCTCTCATTCACAGGGTGTATGTTCCAGGACCCCCAGTGGATGCCTGAAACTGCAGATGATACCAAACCCTATACATTCTATGTGTTTTCCTACACAAACACACTTCTGATAAAGTTTAATTTATAAGTCAGGCACAAGAAGAGATTAATGATAATAACTGATAAGCATAGAACAATTATAACAATATACTGCAATATAAGTTCTGTGAATGACTTTGAGGCCATTAGGAAGTAAAATAAGGGCAACCTGAACACACCCACTGTGATATCAGAACAGCTGGTCTGATAACCAACCTGGCTACTAAGTAACTAATGGGAGCCAAGTGTTTCTGTGCAGGGTGGGTATCGCTGCACCAAGGGATGCTTTACGTCCCGGGTGGGATGGAGTGGGAGAGTCTGAGGTTTCATCATGCTGCTCAGAGCAGTGTGCGATTGCGATTTAAAACTCATTCATTGTTTATTTCTGGAATTTTCCATGTAATATTTTTGGACTATAGTGGATGGTGGGTAATTGAAATCACAGGAAGTAAGACCATCGATAAAGGGGGCTGCTGTAGGCTTTTTCTCATTGTTACCTTGTCAGGGAGGCCTTACTTAAAATAACAACACCCCACATTTCTTGATCATTTCATTATTTGACTCCCCCCCGCCCCGCCCTCACTAGAAGGTGAGTGACTTGGAGGCACTTGTTCTCTGTTGGTGACATGGACTTGCTGCAAATGGTCCTTGATGACCACGTTGGGCCATCAGACCAGCGAGGAGTGGAAGCTCCCTTTCACACAGTGGCTTCAGGAGGCTGTTGCAGCCATTTGTGACGCCGACTGACTGGAGTCTGAGAAGAGAAGGCAGTGTGTTGAAAATGGCCAATGTGGAAGCCCGGAAAGAGAAATTGGGTCCTTAGGCTATCCCTGAGAAGCTGGAGCAACACCCAACAGCCTTCTTTTAGACTTTGTTACCCGTGAGAAAGAGAAAGACCCTGTCAGCTGGGAGCTGACCTGACACTATGAGGTCAGCCTTGGTGTTCTGTTGGACACGAACAACTTCACACACCAGCAACGTTGGACAAGGCCCCTCAGGCACTTGATGGATTGAGGCAAAATCAAGACCACTGCTGTAGTCTTGTCAATGGACATGTGGAGAGGTGGGCATGGCTTTTCCTGTGAGCTCATAACCTCTCCCAACAGGGGCCTGGGAGCCACGTGAGGTTACGGCGTCGTTCCCTGCCCCCATCCCCAGCACCACCGTGACTTACAGACCTGCGGGATCTACAAATGTAAGGATTAGGCAGGAGGTGCCGGGAAGGGGTGTAGGGGGTATAAACGGGCAGGGGACATTGGGCAGCCTTTAGATGGTACCAGGAAGACATGAGGCTGGAGGGATGTTTTTGCAGCCTGTGTCTCTGAGGTCTCAGTGTGGACCAGAGCGTGAGCAAGTCTTTACATGCGGGGGGGTGGGGGGGTGGGGGGGGTAGTGGTGGGGGGCAACGACGATGTAGGGCAGCTGTTGGACCTAGAGTGAGTGTGGCACTAGTGGGACTGGGGTGGGAGGAAGGGGGTGGTGGGGGAAGGAAGTTGGAACTCTGCGAGGAAGGGCGAGGGTTGCTGGGGTGGTGGGGACGTCTTCGGTCTGCCAACGACAGAGAGAGTGGGCGAGGCGCACGTTCAAAGCCCGACCCGCCTGGCTCCAAGGTGGGCAGGGCAGGGAAGGAGCGCGGAAAAGGCGGGTCTGCTGCTGGGTCCCCGGGGGCCACCTTTGGCCGCTCACTGGCAAAGTAGTGGGTGTGAGCTCACGTTCAACGCCGGGCCCGCCTCCTCTCCAGGGTCCCCTGCGGCGCGCACCGCCAGCCCGGAGCAGAGGGAGGGAGCTGCGGCGAGCGCGCGGTTGCTAAGCCCATCGCCCCCGGAGACGTTCCGGGTATTCGTCGCCCGCGCGGCGCGGCGCGGGGCGGGCAGCGGGAGGAAAAGAGGAGAGAGGGCGGGCGCGGGCTCGTAGCTGCTCGCGCCGCGCCCCGCCTCCCCGCGCCCGCCGGACCGTCGAGCCGCCACCCCGCGCTCCCACAGCAGAGCCCGGCTCTCCGGGAGCCGACCGCCCCACCATGCCGGCCGCCGCGCCCGCCCCGCGCCCGCCGCCGCCCCCGGCGCGGCCCGCCCCCGGCTGCCCCGCGCGGCCTGCCCAGGGTAAGTAGGTGCTTTGCGCTCCCGCGCAGACCCCAGCGGGAACGCCGCGTCCGCAGGGGTGGGAGCACTTCTGTCCCTCGGACTTGAGACCCCTTGAGTGGGGTGGGGCAGCAGTGCCAAGACACAAGGGGGTGCCCGACCCGCGGGGGTGCCCGAAGTGCGCTGTGCGTGTGTGTGAGCGCGCGCGCGCGGCTACACCACCTGAAACTCGCCTGCTCGGCGACAGTTCTGTCCGGAGCTGGTTTCCTCTCCCCCGCCAGCCAGCGGGGCCTTCTTAAGAAACGCGTGGGCATCTTGCGAGGTTCGGTGGGACTTCAGAAGGGGAAAAACAGTCGGGAGGGAGCTGACATTTACTGAGCATCTCAACCTGCGTGGTGCTGTCTCGAAAGTTGACCTCATTTCGTTTTCTACACAAACCTGTAAGGAAAGTGGAAGTATCCCTGTTCGACACCTGAGAAAACGGAGGCGCCCAGGCTCTTGATTTGCCCAAGGCCGCATGGCTTGGTAGCAGTGGGGCTGGGATTTGAACTCCTTATCTCCGTAGCTCGCTGACGCGGCTAAAGGACAGAAAACTCTCCTTAGTATTCGATGAAGAAACACGCGGAGGATCAAAAGACAATCAGGAAAAAGGATAGGGGCAAAGCATTTGGGAATTAACAAGGGAGAAAAAAAAAGAGTTAGTGAAATGTCCCATCAATTAATTTCAAATATAGGAGCACATTTACACTGCTTTCCCAGTCTGGCTCTGGGGGCGGGTTGTGAGGCAGGGAGAAGACCGCGCCAGGGCTGGGCAGGGGCCGGGCAGAGGCGTCTGGGGACACCTTTTCAGAGTATCCACCTGTTGGGAGTGGGGGGTGAGAAGTTGTGGAGGGAATTCAGTTGTTATTCATCTGCAAGTTAGTCATCCTCCACTTCTCCCCCTCCCTGTTGGCTCCATTCCCTTTCCTCTTCTTGACAGTGTTATCCAGGATCTTTCATGGAGAATTTTGTCATTAGTTGCTCCTGTGCATTGATGGCTGCCAGGGGCTGTGAAGCTGGTCCAGGTCACTGCCTGCAGACATGAGCTGGTGGGCTAGCGGTGAACGAACACTCACAGTTGCAAACAGTGGACTTCGGCAGCAGTAGCCCCGCAGGGTGCTCAGCCTTCAGGGGCAGGATATCAAGAAATGGGCCCAAAAAAGTAAAAAAGGAAAAGGGTGTTGGGTTTGCCTGGCAGCCCAGCTTCAGAAGAGCACTCCAGGTTAATATCTGGATTGCTTGGGATAAAGGCCCTAAAATGCTTCCTGGAGGAAGAACAGGGAGGCAGAACAGGATTTTGGAAAGATGCGCAGTAACTCCTTCCATTTTGATTTGAAATGGGTCGTGGTATTTGTTGGTGAGCTACAAGAAGTGCAAGAAGGGTCAGGGCCCCCTGCCTTCAAGCCCCAGAAGGATTCAGAACAGCAGAGGTGGAGTCTTAGCATTATCATGGCCGAGACTTTGGCAGGACTTGGAGAAAGAAATGTTGGACAGTGGCCTATGATAGGTGCCTCAGTGCTATGCTGTATTCCCTCGGAGACCTTTGCCATCTGTGTGCGCACTGGTGCCCTGGTCCCAGCTGCCCGCCCCTCCTCTTGGTTGGAGGATGACTTTGGGCCGCTGGAGTCAGCTTGGTCTTGAGGAAGTGAGAGCAAGGAGCATGTGGGAATTGACATCCCCCCTGGGGGTAGCCCCTGGCCAGGGACTGAGAAGTGCTGGAATATAAACAGTCCAGCTCCCTTCCCCTTGGCTGGGACACTCCGCGCATGACATGCTTTGTCCCCAGAGGCCCACTGTGCAGTTGTGTCCTTGACCTCTGAGAGTCTTTGCTGGGCTTGCGTTTCTTTCTTCTCTCACTTCGTCACCCCCGCCTACCAGTTTTTCCTAGTAATACTTACTAATAAAACATTTTTATAGGGATTCTCATCCCAGGACCTGATTCTAGAGAACCCAACAAAAAACATGGACGCTCTCACTCTCAACATTTTTTTTTTTCCTCTGCCGGGATCTGAGTGAAACTCCATCATTAGTCATGGGCAGCCCGTGCTGGCCTGCAGAGGGCCTGCGTGTGAATTCGCACAAGGTGCCTCCTTCCAGGCACGTGGAGCCCTGGGCCCAGGCACAGGTTTAGCAAGCAGGGAGGGGTTCAGCATCCACGGACCCCCTCATCTGGGCGTCTTCGGTGGTGCACACAGTGCCCGGCAGAAGGGGTGGCATGGGGCTTGGGTGCTGTGCTCAGAAAAGCAAAATAAAGTTGGTACCCAGGCACTGTGAGCCTCAGAGTTGCTTAGTTGTTGCAAGATCTCACTTCTTGGCTTCTCTCCTCCCTCTTTTTCCCAGTTCAAAGTTTCCTTCCCGTGTTTTCCTAAATATTTGACTACTTCAGGCACATGTTTTGCTTTTTTTCTGGCGAAATGTCAAGCTGGTTAAATGTCTTAGCTTCCTTCTAAAGCCAATAAGGGGACAGAAAAAGGCTGCCTTGACCAGTGGAGCCACAGTACCACAGGCTGCGGTGGGGGTGTGGTGTGGTGGTGGTACCTGGTCAGGAAAGGTGGGCAGGTCCCCACCTGCCGGGCCTTCCAGGGGGCCTGTGCCTTGACCTGAGTTCATCGTGTTGGGTTTGGATGGGCTGCTGGAGGCTCTTTCCTGATGAAGTTTCCTTTCCTTGCATCCATGGGACCATTGCACCTGGTATCAGAGCTTCCCTACCTTTCCTTTCGTGGCCTCTGGTTAGTGTCTAAATTTGGCCCATCTAGTGATAAAGCAGAGCCCCTTTCAAAGATGCATATGTGGGGGAATTTTTTGAAAAGGATTTTTTTTTTTCAACTACCTGTTAATGTAGGTCAGAAGGAGGAAATACAAGGAATGTGGCAGAGTGGGGAAGAAATCTGTCCTGGGAACCAGGGAGTTGAGCTCCACACCCAGAGATCTGAGGCTTCCTGGTTACCTGGGGCAAGTCATGGACTTCTCTGGGAACTTCATTAATAATAATTGTCCAGCCAACCTCAGACGGTTGTTTGATGATCAAAGGGGAGATATTTTCATTGTCTCATCAAACAATTGTTGAGCAAGCCCATAAAATCTGTATCCAGGAGAACTGGCAGTCTCTCAGGGACAGTGGTATATGTGTAGGCGTCATGGTGTAGGTAGTAAGTGACGGACTACAGAGAGCGCCAGTTCGGTAGCTGCATGAAGGGACAGGGGCGGTCTCCAGAGCCGCTTGGGCTGGTCTTGAAGGCTCAGTGTGCACTGAACTTTGTAAATGGCTGGGTGCCATGTAGTGTGTATTTCTGAGGGTTAGAGCTCTTGAGTCCATCAGATCTGCCTTCACATCTTGGCTCTGAAACTTCAAAGCTCTGTGATTCTGGGTAAGGTACCCAATCACTTTGAGCCTCAGTTTTCTATTGATAAACTAGGCATGATCATGTTCTGAGAATTTAGTGATGGAAAGCTTTTAGAAGATATTATTACAGATGGAAAGTATTGCTATTAAAGTTACCTTGTGGGCAGAAGAGATTCTGTCCAGGTGCTTTGGGTTAGTGCTTCTCAAATATTAAGCATACGAATCATCTGGGAATCTTGCGAACCTGCAGATTCTGACTCAGGAGGTCTGGGGCGGAGCCTAAGATTCTGCGTTTCTCTCTAGTGCCTCAGTTCTGCAGGTGTTGCTTGTTTGAGGACCACACTTTGAGTACAAGGCCTTAGGTCACTCCTCCCAGGGAAAGTCTGAGCCCTTTGTGGGAACTGAAGGATGCTGGGGAGGGTTCAGGCCTTTTGCAGGTGTGGCCTGGGGCTGGAGCAGAGACAGTTGGCACTGGCTGCTGTTGAGTGAGGTGTTCCCCTCAGGCGGGGAGTGGATCTAACCCAACTTCCTTCAAAGGCCTTATTACCAGCTCCCCTGGAAGAAGCTCTTCCTGGCCAAATGGTCAAGTGCTGCCTTCTTCTCCTGCATTCTGACCTTAAGGGTATAGAGATGAATAAGCCACTGACCCTTTTACAGTGTGGTTTGGGGTGAGGTGGGGACAGGCATGTAAACATGGTGAGATAAGCCCTCTACAGAGTTCCTGGGTAATGGTGATGGGAGTTGGAAAGGGAGGAAAACATCCTGGTGGTGATTATATCTGAACTGGGTTTTGAAGATGAATCGTGGTGGCAGAATGTGGGAGGAGAGCAGAAATATATAGGGAATGGCATTCCAGGATTAAGGAACAGTATGTGCAAAGGTAGGCTGTCCTGAAACAGCTTGGTGGGTTCAGGTCTTTGAACTAAGAGCTGTTTGGAGCATGGAGTATGCTGGAAAGGGCTTAGTCAGATGTATTAGTCAGCGTAGGCTAAGCTCTGCTGCAGTAACAAATCAACTTCATTATACTAGTAGCTCAATGCAACAAAGGTTACTTCTTACTCACACTAGGTGTCCTTCGCAGGTCAGTGGAGGGCCAAGTTGACGTAGCTTTCCGTCAGCTTGCAGACACACCTTTTGGAGAATGTGGTCTCTGTCATCATCTGCATTAGGAAGAGGTGTTGGAAGGGTTGTTCTTTGGCTGTTCTGTGCTTCAGTCTGGAACTGATGAATTACTGCTGGTGCCCACAGCCCATTGGCCAGAGCTCATTGTGAGGGGCCTAGGAAATGATGGGGGTATGGATGGAAAGCTCACAGAACATCACCGTCTCTCCCACGCATGCCTTGTTATGGGCCTTAAGTCTCACTCGGAAGGCCAGAGTTTCTCAAATGGGAGTCATAAGTGAATTCCTTTAAAGGAAAAAAAAGTCTTGTAGATTCCTAGTAGTGGCTTCAATTATTTTTATTACAGTGCAATTCAAATTAAACTCCTTATGTGCAGAGCTTGCCTATGACCATAAAACCGAAACAAATATATAAGTAAAATATCAGCACAGCTGCAAATGGAGTAAATTCAGATTAACTTCGTGAATTTAATGTGCTGGGTAAAATTATTTTTGCTAAATCACTGTGTCTGATCCTG